GGCCGGGGCATGCCAAAGGGAGCAGGGCAAAAAGAATGCAGAGGCGGAAGGAAAATGCAACAAAAATCAGAATCCAGCCGATGCCGAGAGGATGTGCCAGTGAGAGCCTCACGGGGCAGCAAGAAAGACTCCCCCCCCCCCCCCCCGCTTCAATATGTCACCTGCAAGGAGCTACCATGGCTGCAACAGGCTGGGAAGATCTTTTGGTCTTGCTCCGATAACAACCTCCCCTCCCCGACCAGCAGCCTCTTGGGCTTCACCTGTTTTGCCAGCTTCTTGACTTACTTCTCTATGTGAGGTCTTTAGTAAGACAACTTCACTGAATAGTAAAGGAACAAAGACCCTACAAACATCCACACGTCACTTGGGCAGCGAGAAACGGTGTTTATTCAGAGAGTAACTGGGAAATAGGAGAAGGAGGATCGAATTCTGAACTTCTGCATATTGGAAGCATAAGAGACAACCTGCTTTTCTGATCCAGGAAAGCTGGACTAGTCCGAAGCTGTTTTAACCAAGCAACCTTTGCAGTTCTGCCTGCTGAGTGCTATCTCTCTTCCCCAACCTCAAACTGACCAAAATCGGGGTATCATCATGAAGAGGGGGAAGAAGTCACAGGCAGCTGGTTGGGCAACAGGCTATGAACTGGGAGGGCTATGTTTGTCCCAAACTTCTCCATCTTGGTGTCCTCCAGATGTGCTGGAACGGCAGCTTTCAGAATCGTCAGCCAATGTGGCCAAAGTTGGGAGTTGCGGTCCCAACCCATACGGCAGTGCCAAGAGAAAGGCTGCTTTGTCCTGTCACTATCAAACTACACGAATAAATCATTTTGCTTCTGTACTACCCAGCTGGAGAAGCCAATGGTGTACAGTATAAACTGTGGATGAAATAAAGGATGTTATGACTGACTTGAGAGCTACATCAAACAAGTCTCAGGATTGCTACGGATGTCCAGAAAACCTGATGCAGCAGTTTTGTCCCTCTGAAATGGGGTTGGCTTCTCCCTGGATTATTCTTCCAAATGACAAACATGCTACAAACATAGGCCACACAGATTTTCTTGCTAGCTCGAGCCCTTTTCCTCCCCAGGGCTGTTTTCTTTCTCTGATTAATTTGGGTAATTTTGCATTCACACATTATGTAGCATCTAGTTAATGTCTTAAAACATAAAGCCCAATTCCTTGATCTCTTGCTGAAAAACTGCTCTGAAGAAAGAGGAGATAATTCACAAGGCATTATGTGAATTCACCATTCTTGTGGCAGAAAGGCATTCATCTCCCTTTCTGCCACAAGTGGGAAAATGCAGTCCCGTATGGTTGTATTTGCAAGACCACAAGAATGGTCAAGAGTGTATCTTCTAGAGCAGTGTTTCTCAACTTGAGCAACTTTAAGATGTGTGGACTTCAACTCTGGCCAGGGAATACTGGGAGTTGGAGTCCACACATCTTAAGGTTGCTGAGGTTGAGAAAGGCTGAGGTTCTAGAGCAGACAATAAAAACTCCTGTTGTTACAGATCTCACTCCCAAGCCTGAGGCTCCCTCAAAGAGTTGGGATTACAGTTCATAACCTCCAACCAGAGTAGCCAATGAATACTAGCTGGCAATTCTGGGAGTTGTAGTCCCAACAAGATCTGGAGGATACCCAAGCTATCTTTTAACATTTGAGAATATAGGTGCAAATATATCTAAAGAGAATACCATTTTTAAAAAGTGTTTAGTGACTGTTCATTTGGTTAACTTCCATAGCGTTCCTGCCAAATAAGCTTGGGAAATGTAATTTGGGGAGGTTCATGTGAATTTTTTGATAGTGTGCCCAAGACCTTTCCACAGAACTGCAATTCACAGAAATTCTAGCAGAGATCATTCAACCGGATTAATGTTTTGATGCCCCCTACATTTTCACACAGCATGAGCACTTGCCACAGCTAGATGTTAATGCTTGGATAACAACATTGGTCTAAATTTCCCAACAACCTTTGGCTATTGGGACATAAGACACCAATGGCATCCATCTCCCTGAAAAAATGGACCTCCCCATGTATGTAGCACCCTTAGGGTGCTGTTCCACCACCACAGTCCAAAGAATAGTTTTGAGCCTGTGTATAGATGTATCTAAGTATCTGTTCCTTCTGTTTCATAACACCAAGTAAAAATGAAAAGAATTTAAGGGTTAGAAAGGCACAATCCACTGAAGATGGCACCCCCTCTTCCAATTGCATCTTTTTATGACCAGCTATAAAAATAAGACATACAGTGGAACCTCGGGTTACGAACGCTTCTGTTAACGAACTTTTTGGGTTACGACCAGCTCCGGCCGCAAAATTTTGCTTCGGTTTGCGAACTCCGCCTCAGTGTACGAACAGGATACGCGGCCATTTTCCCTCCCGTGACACAGTCTGCGGCCATTTTTCCACCCGACACATGGTCCGCGGCCATTTTCCGCCCGACACGTGGTCCGCGGCCATTTTTCCACCCCTGACACGTGGTCCACGGCCATTTTTCCGCCCCGACACGTGGTCCGCGGCCATTTTTCCGCCCGACACGTGGTCCGCGGCCATTTTTCCACCCCTGACACGTGGTCCACGGCCATTTTTCCGCCCCGACACGTGGTCCGCGGCCATTTTTCCGCCCGACACGTGGTCCGTGGCCATTTTCCGCCCGACACGTGGTCGGAGGGAGGGGGACTCTCCCTCCAAGCAATAGG